ATCTCAGCACAACCAACATCTGCCTCGATACACACTGGCTTATCCAACATTGACAATAGCAGCCATCTAATAACGTGATTCCCTTTCTTAAATGTCTTACGATTAGGTATTAATCACTTCATTTCCTCGTTCCGGTACTGACATCCTACTCATGGATTTAATGTAATGAACACGTATAATCAAATTTAGCTTAAATACACATTGTAAGATTATAGTCACTGTCCAACTATTGTTGAACTGTTTGTAATGTGTTGTCAGATGTGGCCACGCACTTCCCCTAAAATGACAGGGAGACTTTGACTTCATTATTATTAATTACTGACTTCTGGTGTGTCACCGTGATCGTAACAAGTAGAAAGGGAGCTCGTTGTCACTCCTCTGTCTTTCATAAAACCATAGTGCACAAAGTGCTGGCTAATCTGATCTGCCTGAGCCAGTATTTTCAAAAGCAGCCAGTCAGTCCATCAGCCAAACAATGAGAGAGGCCACAAGATAACAAGATAAGCTTGGGCCAGCCTGGTGAGGTGGTCCTGAGGAGGGGAGTGGGGGATGTGCATATGATGAAAGACCCAGCTAATGCCATGTACAGACAGAGCCAGCCTTCACTGCTGTTAAATAAATCTGACTTTATGCTGTGTCAGGCCTAAACTGACCTCTTTAAAAGAGGCTTTGAGATGGTAAAATGTATTACAATAGCTTTAAAAAGAAAGTGTTACAGATTGGGAAGGAAAAATGCTACTTGTCTTCAGTCGCTGTGGTTAAGATGCCAGCATTGATTGGCTTGGCTTACTGGTCTGGTTTTTTTCCCCCACACAGACAGAAAAAGAAAAGGGTTAGACAAATGATTGCTTCAGTAGGACACCATCAGCATGTAAAGCCCAACTCTAGTACGCACACATCTGTTGCTTTTCCCGTGAAAAATAGCTGAAGCAGGAAAAAAGAAACCTAGAGCTGGTGATATTAAGCTCCTCCATCTTGCCGTGCCATGATCTTTCAAGCTTGTGAGGCAAAAGCAGGAGCCTCTAGTTCTTTTGTGACCTTGAACTGTGTCTGTGCAGTCAGGATTTACTGAGTGTGCGGGTGTGAGATGCCTCATGCACTGGTGAAGTCCTTTGGCCACTCTGGACATACTGAGTAACCTAGTGTTCAGTAATCAGACCTTTATGCATGGAGTCCGTCCCGTTAAGTCACCAAACGCACCACCAGACTAAGGAGCTTAACTGCCCCAGAACGTGAAACAATTACTATCAGCGATACAGTAAAATAACGCCATCTTTGACCTATGAACCTTTGCTGCTCACAGGGTCGAGATGTGTGCAGTCCCTATTTGGCACTGATGCAGACGGGGACTGACTTGACAGATGCACATACAAAATCACACAAACATAGCCTAAAACAATACCTCAACAAAAAGTAACCACCGGCAGTCTGTGTAACCCAATCCTGTGAAGTAACGATAATTCCTATAAACTAGAAGTCGTCGGTGTCATCTCAGGGTTCTAAGTGGATTTAGGTCAATGAAGGAAACGCTCATGTTCCAGATTCACAGTCTGATTACAAGCAGAATTGGTAAAGTAGACGACAGCAGGTAAAATACCGCCTGTCTGCAGGGTCGTGTCTCGTACGAGTTAGTATGGCAGAGGTGGCGATCTAACCCTCTAAGGCGTAGTGCCCTTGTTGTGAGATTACCCAGCAGCTAAGCAGTCATTAAGTAAACAAAGGTATTAGGCACCAATCAGGCCCGAACTAATAGGTAAATACATCCTTCCAACATCTGTTTGGGTTAAAGATGAACAAATGAAATGTCATGCACTCGGATGAACTGAACCGACAACTCCGAAGCAGGATTGCATGAGTTTATTCAAATTACTTGATGATTTCTACTGTTTTTGAGTTAAAGCAGCTTGTTTCTTCTTGTTTGTGATTCTCCAACTTTGTGTCATCATCAGCGGCGAGTGGATACAGGAATAGTGGATTTCATGGAAATTTGCAAACTGTATTTGCACAGCTGAGACTTTACGGGAAAAGCGTGACACAACCCATGTGCCGTCACTCCCCAAACTATGTGCTGTAATTCCAAGTCAATCTAAGTGCATGACATTATCGAGCATTCATGGTTGTGTTAACTGGATTGAGAGATTACCGCAGATTACGTTTGATGAGGCTGACCATAAAACAATGGCTTTAAATAGACCTCGCATCCTCACTGAAGTCTGACGGTTCTGTGTTTGCTGTATCGATAATGTTACCACCTCGTCCTCTGGCAGAAAAAAAAAAGAAAAAAAAAGACACCTCTGATCTGTCAAATGATCGAAAAGCAAGCCCTGCTCTCACCATTTAACGCTCTGCCTGGGAGCTAAGGCATTACTTTCAAGAAAATAAGACAAACAAAGCAATCTATTTTTATGTTACCGGCAGCAGAATAAACAAGTTACACAAAAGAAACTTTTCATGTCAATAAAAAAAAAAAGAAAAGAAGAAAACGCAATACAAGCAACTTATGTAATAAGATGAGACAAAATTGACTGATGACTTCTAAATGCAGAACATCACACTTCTGCCCGTATTACTCTCGGGAATCTAACTTTACATGGTATTTATAGCACACACTGTTGATGGCCAACTGCCAATTTCTAACCAAGCAACCTGCACATTGTAATCTTTAGGGTGACACCACGTCCTCTTTACTCCTGACTGTCCTGGGTCTATGGCAGCAATGCAGCACACAACAGTGTGCCCAGACTTCCCAATATCATAATGCACGAAATAATCTCAGGGAAGCCCATTTTAATCAAGTGTTCAGTTCAAGGGCATGGCGTCAAATGACACCCTACTGTCCCTACAAAGCCATGCTTCACACCTGAACAGTAATGTGTGGAGGATTAAGGACACCTTGGAGCTCAGTCATGACAGGGAAAAAAAATCTTTGAAAAAAAAAAAAAAAAAAATGCTGCTCAGTGCGTAGTTGGGGAATGTCAGTTAAAAATAGAAAGACAAAAAAAAAGCACAAAACCAGACCTTCGATCATATTTTGCAGGACACCTTTATGAGTTAACTCATTCATCCTTGTCCTCGCCCTGCCGTTTTACCCTCCATTAGTCATGTATGCATTTACACACACACACACACACACACACGCACGCACGCACGCCTGCTAAATTGCCAATTAAATCTCAAAATAACACATGTCTTGAAATACATGCACGTCCCCAAAGTGTCAAAGCTTGATTAAAAAAAAAAGGGTGTTTAGATGATTATATTCTAATAATATTTGTGCCTTTCTAGTTCTATTAACCCTGTAGACCCAGACTACAGAATAAAAGAGGCCATACCTATATCTGGTTTAAAAAAGATTCTATTATCTCATGTATTTTACGTTTTGTGTGTTTTCAAAGCGGGGTGCAAGAGAGAGAGGCTAAATCTGGTGTAGGCGTCGTAGGAGATGAGACATAATGGCTGGGTTTGAGCGACTCATTTGTCTTCCGCTATTTTTCTCCCATGAAAAGTTGTTTTTTGACGCAAACACACACACACACACACACACACACACACACACACACACACACACACACACACACACACACACACATACATACACACACATGCACACCCACCCCCACCCAGTTCTGTTGGCCAAAGTACCCAGAATCCATTGCAGCTCAAGGTCACCTGAGTCTTGTCTGGCACACAGCCTGTGCACCTCAGCTCTCACTCTCTTCTTGCATATAAGCCCTAAATCAATTAGTGTGGCAGAAATAACTATTTCCATGCTTGCTTTTTAAACGAAGAGTGGCTTTAATTTGAGCATTTTTCGGTTTACACACTGCATATCAAATGGTGATGTTGGCTTCCTCAAGTGTTTTTCCCCCCCTAGCATTGTGTAACCTGCAGTTTAAATATCCTTTATGTACTTAGAATAAATCCAGATTTAATTAAAGCTTTACAATGCAACTTTCTCAAAAATTCATTTCCATTTCATGTCACAAAAGAAATCTAAATCCGTCCGGATAATCTCTACACCAGTATCAAATTGCACTGCAGTGTCTTTTGCCCTCAAGTGTCATTGAGGGAGCGAATGTTAGTCACACGGTGATTTCTGCTGTTTCTGACTGAGGAGTGTTCACTGTTCATGCTATTGAGTGAAAAGTGAAGTGAAGTGAAGTGAAGAGAAAAGTGAAATATTGCACTGAATGACTGTGTACATGCAGAACCTCCTCCTGAGAGCAAACATGGAGGAACAAACAAGACTACCGCAGCCGTCCTGAAGCCATTTACTGTATGTGGTTCACCTCGTCGAGCTGTATGTGGTTTACGGTTTTACGCAACGATTTAAAGGCACCATTTAATTGGGAAATCCTTAACTGGGAGGAGAGAAAAAATACAGTAGCTCCTGAGAATTTCCAAGGGATTTGTTTGTCAGACAGGGACACAATTTGTAGAGCTTAACCCAGAATTACACATTTGACTGTTTTATTAATCCCACCGTGGAATACTGTATGCCAGCCCTGTTCGCCATCGCTTAAGGCCACATTAATGGTCAGCTCAGTTGTTGAAAAGTTTTTTTTTTCACATTCTCAGTCAAATAAAACATATGTCCAATTGTTGCATATTGAATGATCTAAGAGTGCGGGACATCTGTGAGACACTGGTCTCATTTGAAAAATGATCATAAGGTCGATGAGAACAAAAAAAAGATGCATGGAATTAAAAAGCACATCGCCACTAACAAACTGATTTTATTTTTGGCTCGACTGAAACAATTATCAAAGTAAGCCTGACTTCATTAAAATCAGCAGCATGTAAAAAGGATGAATGTGTGTACCCATGCCAGAGGGGAGAGTGAAGGTTATTTCTATTATCCACAATACTAAAATTCATTAGTGCACAACTACTGTAACTGCCTCATAGTCTTACATTTCCTATAAATCTGTATTTTCAGAGGAAATGGTGGTGAAGGGGTAGTGAGAGAAAAAGAATCCAGGTCAGGAAACCAACTCACCTTGGGCTGCACTTCTACTTCTACCACTTGGTTCTTGTTCATGCAACTTTTGACGAAGCCCTCAACATGGCTGTTGAACTTCATGAAGATCACGTAGGCGGCGTAGCCCGAGAGCAGCGTGACGCTTTCCCACATGGAGATGATGTTATCCAGGAAGAAGATGATGAGCATGATCAGATCTATGATGTAGAAGGAGACGTCGCGGAAGAGTGGCCACCACGTTAGGTTGAGGATCTCCTTGGAGAAGATGGCACACATCCCGATCACGAAGAGGATGTTGAAGACAGCCGAGCCCACGATGGTCCCGATGCCCACGTTGCTGTGAGAGATGAAGACGCCGATGATGGAGGTGAAGAGCTCCGGGGCTGAGCCGCCCGCCGCCATGAAGGTGGCGCCCGCTACGTCATCGGAAATGGTCAGCTTCTCTGTGATGACTGTCAGCGCTGGGACGAAGAACTCGTCGCACACTATGGCTAAGGCAATGAACATGTAGATCATGCCGAACATGTGGAGGACCACTGCTCCTTGGCGCCTCTCGTCAACGGTGAAAATGTCTGGTGGGTAATCCCCCTGGCTCTTGTTGCTATCTGCTGTAGATTTCATGGCTATTGGCATGTCAGCTGACACATTGGGGTCCCTCTGAGTTTGGGTAAAAAGAGAGTCCTGTGGGGGGGCCGACCGGTGGAGACTCTCCTGGGGGAGCACTGGCTCACTGAGACCCCCTGAGCTCCAGGTCAAGGCACTGAAGGAGACGGCACTTACGGCCACCAGGCTGAAGACGAACCCTAAGATTCGCACTGGCCTCAGCTTTTTCCGCAGACACCGGTGGCCCTGCCGCTTACAGGCAGCACCCAATGTGGGTCTTCGCTCTGGTGAATCCATGCAGGGTTGATCTGAACCCATGTCTGTGCAGCTTGTGTTGTCCTCACTCTCAAAGGCTAGGTAGGAAGAGGGGAGAGTGGGGAGCAGGTTTTACCGGAGACAATGCATGCCTTTGTCTTCAGTTTCAAATGAGTTGAAAAGATTGTAGGTTCTTCCCAGGGTCTGGTTTGCCAAATGATGTCTTCATATTAGCCTCTGCTGGACAATGTCAAAAGAGTGAAGAAGAAATTCATTATTAAGGCAGGAAAGAAACTCAAAGAGTGTAAAAAGACTGTTGAGATATTGAATACAGGGTTTATCTTAAAGATTCTGCTTTGTCAATAGTCTGGTGATGCTACAAAGTTAAATGACACAGAGAACTAAATCATTATTAGTGGATTAAATCCATTACATAACCATCAGAAAGTTAATCTTTGTCAATTTTGGTAATTGCTCTCTATGATGTAAAACATTTGATTAGTGCAGATTCTCAAATGCACACTTTTGCCTTTTTTACATTTATTGTTAAAAATGAAATCTGCAATTAATAGCAACTAGATTAACAAATAATCATAGTTGCTTTGGAAAAGTCACCTACAAATCAGGACTGAAAAAAAGCTAACATCAAACAGGTAATTCCCAATTATAGTGTGATGCACAAGTGTGGAATGCTCATCTTATAATGCATATTTAATTTTAAAATCGCCCCACAGTGTCAGTATTACACTGTCTCACAGCACTCCGAAATAACACAAAACAGATCAAGAATGTATAAAATCTAAGGTCTAAATATTAGTATTAATATAAGTATTTGAGCTTAAGTGGAATAGTCATTGTGTGGCCTTCACATGCTGCATACCATTAAGTATATTCGGTGATTTTAGGTAGAGTAATTCACAATTTCAAGTGATTCGCGATGGATTCAAAACAGGAGATGAAGCAAAGAGACAGAAGTTATAGTAGGTGCGGATGATGCACTGCTGCTTTAACTCGTTCGGATTTGAATTGTGACAACTTGCAGTCAAAACATCAGCTGCTTCTTTTTTTTTTTACCTGGGGAAATATCCCGAAATGTGAAGACCGACTGTTTACGGGCATCACCGGGCTGCAGTCAGTGAGAACGGTACCCGCAGTGACGCTGCTGCTCAGGTGAAAGCACATAAAAACACTCCTGTCCTGTTCGACTTCCCAACGACGCACAGCCTGCTGCCTTAAAGCCCAACGTCTGAAACCCCCCCACCCCACCACCACCCCCCCTCTGTCTGCCCTTCAACGCTGCCTTCGCCCCTTCTCTCCCCCCAGCTGTATCATTACCATCACATAACAAACAGCTAACCATCATCATCATCATCACCCGACCAAAAAGAAGCCCCCCCCCCCAATATTGAGTTGCCCTGGCGCGGCTCGTGGCGCGTGGCGCGTGGAGAGGCTCGCGGACGGGTGTCATGCCTTACCTTTGACAGAGGCGCGAGGAAAAACAGCCGCACGGCACAGCAGCAGGTTGGAATTAGGAAATCCTCTTTCGGTGCCCTCTTGCTCTCATTGAGCTACAAAAAAAATGTGACCGGTGTCCGCTCTCCGACGACAGAGGAGGAGCTATGGATGGAGAGAGAGAGAGAGAGAGAGAGAGAGAGAGAGAGAGAAATGCTTTTCCAACTGCGCTCACCTCTCTCCCTCACAGCAGCAGCAGCAGCAGCATCTCTCCGGTCTCGGATGAGAGGAGAGAGAGAGAAAAAAAAAGAGAGAGAGAGAGAGAGAGAGAGAGAGAGAGAGAGAGAAAAAAAGCCCACCCGGTTGAAAATACCTTGCTAATGTGGCAGCAATAGTGTGCTGGGCTGGGCTGACCACGTGAACCGGTTGGTTTATTAATAAAGCCAGGTAACCGGCAGACAGCGTATCAGTTCCTGCTGGGTTCACGCGGTGGGGGCTTTTGGTGATGTTGCGTTTTGAGGGAGGAGTTGCCGTGGTTACACAGCAAAGGCAGTATTTTCACTGATTTTTTTTTTCCTTTTCTTCTTCCTTCCTTCCTTCCTCTCTCTCTGATGCCGGAACAGGTGGATAAGCTTCAGCTCCGTTGCTGATTTATGTGCACGCTTAAGGTCATTTCAAGGTTATGTGCAAGAGGCGGATCCCCTCTGTCGGAGATAACGCTGCAAATGTGCAACCCAGAGTGCTGCATCATGCATTGTGCAAATGATGCATATTTACACTTAGACTAGAGTATAATATTTATTTTAAATGATAATATATATATATATATATATTTTTTACATTCTTAGGAAATGTGCATATCTGCTTTTTAGCCAATTTGATACCTCTCACATCTGTATGAAGCTGTACCAGCAGCTGTTTAGCTTATAGGTTAGCATATGGACAGGAAACAGGGGCTAGCCTGGCTTTGGCTTAAAGTAACAAAATCTGTGTATCAGCGCAAAAGTTCACTAGTTAGGGCCCAAGGAGCAATTGCTGCGAACGAAACTGCTATTATTCTTTAAGAAAATGAATCAGATTTTTGGCGGGGCAATATGCCAAAACTCATGAACCCCAGCATATGTCAGCCATGGGATCTCACATATGGGCGTGGCAAAACGACCTCCTAGAGTCCACCACAAATTTATTTTGGCACTTTTTGTACCAATTAAACAAACCAGTTGTTGCATAATTGGTGAGCTTAAGGGGTGCTGGAAGGTGGATCTTGTTACCATTTGATTGAGCCAGGCTAGCTGTTTGCACCTGTTTCCAGTCTGTATGCTAAGCTAAGCTAACTGGCCCAAGTTTAATATTGAACTGACAAACGTAAGCATGGTATTGATCTACTCACCTAAGTATTGATCTACTCACCTTATTTGCATTCCTGCAAAGGAATGCAAATAAGCATATTTCCCAAAGTACCAAAGGGGACAGTAACATTAAAAAGGTCAGGCATGCTTTATGTGTCAGTTTGCTTCATTTTGAATACATCAGCCAAGCCTTCATCTGACATAACCATCATCCCTACAGCCCCCCGGGTTGCTGTGTTTCCCCCACCATGTCAGATAAAGCTTCTCAAACACTTTGCTTTAGTCGACAGGCCAAACGTTGTTGGATAGATGCAGACACGCAATCTCTTCACAGAGTGACAAAGTATGTGTGACACTAATGGCCTGCTGCTGTATAATAAATCATGATTCAGTGACCTCATTGATTGCCCCCTCTCCTCCCCACTGTAGCTGCCTCTTGTTACCTAACAGGAAACACAGAGGACAACAGCATTAACTGACCTCAGATTATTTGTTAAATCATCTGAAAAAAAAAAACTCAATGTCCACTTATACGTAGCTAATTAAATATTACAAATTGAAATGGATACGTCTGTCATTATTGTTAAACATGACAGACGTAAAGCAATGTTTTGGGGAATACACTCAGTTGCTCTCTTGCTTTAGCTTGATGAGAAGATCAACACCACCCTCACATTTATCCAGTAAATAAAATAGTACAGCCAGCAGCCAGTTAAAGACTTGAACCGGGGGAAACAGTTTGCGTAATCCATACAAAAACTGATGTGTAAAAAAGTTTCTGGGTTTATGAGGGTTTATGTGAGGGAGTACGTGTAGGTAGAGAGCAGTGACTTCTTGAAGTGTTGTCGTTATCATGAGGTTGCCAGGCAACCAGCCAAGCAAACCGATTGCTGGCTAGCCTTATAGTATATACTGGACTAATATGACAGTGGTATTGATCTTGTCATTTAAGTTTCAGAAAAGCAAAACGAGTATTTCCCAAAATGTCGAACTATTCCTTGAAAGCATGAAGACTTAACCTCCATTGTGTTTATGTCAATTATAATTCCCTCTCACAGGATTAAAGTTCAGTGTACTAAAGTCCAAAGTTTGAAAAAAATAACCCTTATGAAGTCGTAGTGATGTCATCTGGGTCATCTCGGATTTGGCTTTGTGCGAATTTAGAGGTCACAAAAGGTCTAATTAGAGATGCTATTGGGTTGCATTATGGGAACTGTAGGATCCAGAATGTTTGTTTTGTAGTTGGACCCATACTAAAAGGATAAAATTCATGATATCTCAGCCTCTGCTGCTTCAATATTGATCATTGGTTGCAAATGGTGGTAGAATAATAGTTACTATCACCATGCAAACCTTCGACTGGACAAACTGCCATCTTCTGTTGTCATTTTCCGTAAGACATGACCAAAATGGAGAGAAAAAATAAGACTTGAAGGCTGTTTTTGTTTAATGCGTCAAGTTTCAAAGATGTTCTTCTACAAAGAGAGATATCGATATTTAGTTAAGAAAGACAGCTCCACAGTGACAGACTTTTTTGCAATTATGAGACAGAAAATCTAAAATTATCACATGGAATTTTTTTGTTGTTGTTATTTTGTGATTACAGGTGTGCTCGCTACCTGGCCTACAGATGTTTTGTTTGCTGGTGCTAGGGGGAAAGCACACATGGGTTGTCAGACACTCTTGCGTTGCCCTCCGTATTCATCAGGAGTACCCTGATGGGGAGGTACACAGACTTTAAACCTCCAATTTACATTAGTACTGGTATTGTATGTAGCAGTCAAAAGTTTGACTGGTACTGTATATACATATTTATGTTTTAGACATCTGTTGTGTAAACACATATTCATTCATTCAATACACTTTTAATACATTCCACAGAAATATTGGAAAGCTGTCACTCAATTTGTGTCACAACTTACTTTTTGAAATGGAGGCTGGTAGGGCTCAAGAGCAGGGATGGGCTGAGGCAGGAGGTAAGTCACAGTAACACAGAGGCAGGCCATCGTCATGACCACCACTACACACCATTCGGCTTTTTTCTTAATAGAAATGCATCTGTGGAGTGTTTAAGTTAAGATAAACACACTGCTCACTTTGTGAACATTTTGAGTAAGGGCCACAACAGTACAGTGGAGATGGTGACTTGTGTGTTGAGTGTGGAGCTCTTTCCACCCCACCTGGACAGCTGGACCCAGACAAATGGCTAACAATTGCATCTGCCTTGTCAGGTTGCTGTATGTGGACACAGGAATCCAGGAACAACCACCGCTTCCAGGTCAACCACAAAGGTGTGCAGGGCCATGGATGACTTTATTAAAGGGGAGGTCCATAAGCTCAGTGACATATTCTAAAACACAGGGGAGAGCACATAACATAGCATATAATGTGAGTAATTCATATGGTATCATGTGTTGACAAACTGTTTCCAAGTAGATAAAAATATTTTATCTATACCTGATGCCAAAATCTTGCCATTGGGTCAAATGTGTTTGGAATAATGCATACATGCATCTCTCTGCTAAGACACTTTGACACCCAGTCTTTAAGATATTCCAGACTCTGGATCAGCCATTCCTTTTCTACACGGATACTGCTTCCCACCTCATTGCTCCATGGATCATAAACAGACATAAAATGTGAGACTAAGTACAGACTACAAAGCTTTAAAATGAAGAGTTTCCCTGTTGCAGTGTTTGCACCAACATAATCAAGAAACTCATTTCTCATTACCTCTATAGAATGTATTAATCCACTTGATTTGATGTGTAATTCTGGTGAAGAGTGCGTTGCACCTGTAATGTGAAATCCGAAAATACCTCTGTGAGAATGTTCACAGCATGTACTGCATTCCACTGTAGCAATGTAGGATGCACTGGCACTAGTAACAAAAGTAGAGTAAGATTTCTTCTGACATAACCCAGACCATTTCTGTGTCAAGAAGCCAAATAAAAGGATGAATGTGCCTTCTATAGTTCTTTTTAAAATCTGTTTCTTGGGAGTTTCCGGACTTTATGTGAGTGCAATAATAAATCGCTGGAGAACAAGTAGTCGATTCATTGATTAGTTACATTAAACTGCAATTATTTCGATTTCGATTAATCATTTAAGTCATTTTTCGAGCAAAATTGGCAAACGTTTGATGGTCCGAGGTTCTCAAATGTGGAAAGTTGCTGCTTTCTTATTCTTACATTGGAGTCAATTTAATATTTTGGGGGGTTTTGGACTGTTGGTCGGACAAAACAGTCAACGTCGGAATTCATTTCAGGAGTTTTGACCTTGTGCATACACCTGGACTCAGGGAAATGTGATAGTGATAGGGTGATAGGGTGAGTTTGAATAGTGACTGTCACGATAGCTGATCCATTTGTTTAAATTGATACGTTTGGCTGCACGAGCACATGTATCTGATAAGTCCACATCATCATCACTACAAAGCTCACTCTGAGCCTGTGACCCCAGCTCTTCAAATTAGATCTGTCAATATTTGTGCCTATCAAATGAGATCCCATCCAGGCTGTCAGCTCTTTTTCAACAATGTAACCCCCCCGGTGCACACGCAGCCTCCGCACTGACCACTCCTGATCTGGCTGCAATTCCAACATAAAAGTGATGACTGGTCACAGGTCATGTGAGTTGGGGTGGGGAGGAAGGGGGTTTGGAGGGGTGATGGTGCCAGTTGTTTTGATTTGTCTGAAATCTGTGCTGTGACAAAAACAACAGAAATTTCCATGCTGGCCCTGCCCCCCACCCGCCCCACCCTCGCTTTGGCCCGACAGCTAAATCCGAGCCTTTGTGTCCCACATAGTTGTATGGATTTGTCAGCAATGGGGCAGGGGCAGTGGGGGGTAGATAGGATGATGATAACCAAGCAAGTTTTTCCGGTGAAGAGGGACAGACAATTGACTGAAGCAAGGTATTGAATTAGTGCTATTAAACCAGTCATTTTTATTATTAACTGAGGATAAAAACCGGTCTGGTCCTGTAGATGAGAAAAGTAGTGAAATTGGAGAGTCCCAAGATAAGCTTTTTCTAAGAGACTTGCTCCGGATTAGATGTTGAAAGCCTCATATTAGCAACCCCACCACCACCACCACCCCCACCACAAGTCTGCACAAAGAGGCTTGGACAGACCACCTGCCCCTTAGGAAAATGTGGTCAGCAAAACAAAATGGGCACAGGCACCAATGGGATGCTCAGGTAGTAAACAGTGAATCAATGAGGCTCTTAAACGGCTGAGTAAATGTATTCCAAAAGACAAATGGTCTGCCTCTGAATTATAACACAAAAGCAAGATTGTTCAAAGATAAAGTGAGAAAGACCATTTTAGCTGAAACCCGGGGGTGGATAGGAATATTCATTTTAGTAGTAGTAGGTCTAAAGAGATTACTGAATTGATAATCCACAGGCAGGTCTGCTCACTAAGTGCTGGAGCTGATTAGATGCGAGCACACAGTGAAAGTGAGACCCTGCTTTTACTGGTGGTCCATGTAAATGTATAGTGCAGTCCAAGCAGCCCCTCAAAACCCTGATCATTTTGAAGAGACCTGAAATTTTAATTTTGTGGGGAGTTTCTTTGTTTTCAACATTTAAAAATTATTAATATTTTTTTGCAAAATGTTATTATTTTTTTATATTATTTTCTTATGTGGATTACTGTAATTAGAATACTGTAATATCGCACTTATTGTACACATACAACAACAGCTGGATGTCCCAGGGCTTCTCTTTGTGATGGTCTAAATGCTGTGTGTAAATTTCTATGCTCTATTAATGCATTCTGGTGGGAAAATCAGTTGTAAGTATGCATACTAATTCATTCATTCATTCTTTCATTCATGTTTTTCTTGAATTTTCTTGGCCTAAGAAAACATACAATCTAAAAATATTGATTTGCAGGTATTCGGTCTTAAGCCAAAAGTATTGGACAGAAATGTGAAGAGGAAATGTAAAAGCTGTTATGGCAGTGCATCCAGTAGTTGATGAGATGTTTCTAAAGTGGTGGACCGACATCCTTAATGGCAGGCAGAGCGCGAGCATGGCTAAACACCCACTATGTGTAACTTTAAACTCTAAAATCTAAACTGCAATTCAGGTCTCTGGAGAAAAACCACAGAATACATGACCTCTAACTGCCCTCAGTGGTAGCTACAGCCCAGAGCAGAGCGAGTAATTATGATACATTCAATCACCAATAAATTGCACAGCGTACAGCGTAGAGCATGGTGGACTACGAGTACGAGTGCATTTTGGCCAGGATGGTTTTGAGGGCACTGTAATGCAAGAGTTCCCATCCTTCCATGTCTTTTATGTCATCGGTGCAGACTGAAGGTCCTGCAGAAACTCCAGGATAAAACAGTCCACATTAACATTTTACATTTGACTGTTAAGCTACATTATGTATTAAAGCAGATAAAGAATACATTATCTTAAATAGATTTCTCTGCTGGGGTCATAAGCTTAGCCGCTGTAGAAATCCAATCAATCTTTGCCTTTTGTGACCTTAACAGCATTTAACCACTGCAGGACAGTGCTCGGTAAGGACAAAGAGGACAAAAGAGTCGTATTGATTGCTACGCCGGTTTTGGTGACGGAGATTTTATGGGAAGGTTTCAAGGTTCAACAACCTGACACTGGAGCATATTTTCTTTGGTCGTTATCGGTCATTGGGAAGTGTGATGTGACAGAAGACCGCATTGATACCGGATGTGTGCTGCATTATAAGGTTAATCCTTATGTCAACAGGGCCAGAAGATGGGTTGACCTGCTGGGCTGCGGGGATGAAGTTTCGGGGTGGGGTGGGAGGAAGAAGTTGAAATGCATTGCTGCCTGTCTGGTTACGACAAGCAGGAGAGAGGAATGAGTAAGCTTGGGCAACTGCACAAAAAAAAAAAAAAAAAAAAAAAAAAGTCGAAAAAATGTTTCATGCTCTGATGTCATCAGGAAGGCGAAAGCAGAGCTGTAATCCTATTTTAATCGCAGTGGATTTATTAAACAGGAGCAGCAGGTTTAAATCTCAGCAGATTACACAGAAGGCCCAAGGAGATGTGGAGAGGGGGGTCGGAGAGGCTTGCGTAATCAAGTGCACTTAAGGTGATATGGTTCATTTTTGACGAGTCAGGAGTGATTAGGAGGGTGTCAGGGGGCTCCGCAAAATGTGAAGAGTAAAGTTAGATGTCTGTACAGTTAATAGACTTTCTTTAAAATGATCTAACATCTTTAATTTATTCATATTTTCTTGGATTAAGATCTAAATTAAATATTCCATTGAGATTCCTTTAGAATAATTACTTTTGACGAGATTAGGATGGACTGCCCGCAGATGTTACTAATTATTTGGACGTGTGTGTGTGTGTGTGTGTGTGTGTGTGTGTGTGCCTCAGTGTCCCCTGGAGTCGGCACAAATCTCCTTGGCATCCTTTGTAAAAGACAGTGATTCTCATAAAGAACGGGCTAATCCCAGGTCGCCTCACATCTGGACTTAATCAAATCAATCCTATAACTGAACATGTAGAATAAACTTGGACCTCTACAGGTCACCAGAAATGAAAAGTTTCCAATCAAGAAACAACGAGTGTGTGTAGGGGGTAGTCTTGTTTGTATTAATGCTTGTCACGCATTAACACAAAACATCTTTTGATCTGAAATGTGTACATCAACATAAGGTTGTTTCATGCTGGCCCGAGTTAATGCACCAGTTGTTAAGTGATGGCATATTGATTTCAGTGTTATAGAGAAACATCATTAAGGAGAATAATTTATAAGTTTTATTATAAAGCAACATTTCCATGTGTACTGATTAAACTACAAAAAAACACAAATGCAAGTGAACTTGTCAGTGTCAAAACCAAATCCAGTCCATAAGGGGTTCTGACTAAGTAAAGCATAAAACCAGACTGTTAGTTTCATGCCCTTAAAAAGGATGCGTAATATGCCAACGCACTGTACGGAGCCCTGTGTTGTCACTGAACTTTGCCTTTGCCAAATGCTTCATCTAAAAGGATGCCAAGCTCACCATCTGTTGGCGGAGCTTGGCAAATGTCTGTTTGTGACACAGCACCTCCTTGATAGGGAGCCATTTTGAGCCACTTCCCTCCTTTTCAGAGCTACGGTGTGAATGCTGCAGATTCTCACACTTTATGATATTGGTTGACAGTGTACTTTTTGTTTTGAAACAAAAATAATAATGTTGAATGCATGGAGGGACATAATGGAGATTTTTAAGCAGTTACCAGTTGGATCATTTTTAAAAACTTACTACAGATTGAGACTTTAAGATGACTGATAAACTAAGCATTTTGTAATATATATTACACATAAATAGAATAATTTAATGTATTTTTTACTT